GCGTCGAATTCCAAAGGTTCCTCAGCTTGCAGTAAAATACGGAGGAGATCCCAAGGCTTTGGGATTCTTCCTAACCCAAGTGTGGAATCACATGGAAGAGTATGGAAAGGATTTCACTTCGGAAGCAGTTCGCGTGAGGTGTGTCACCATGGCAGCCGACTGGTTAGTGGACCTTCACAATGAGGATTCTCCCCTGATGAGGAATTATGACCAGTTTATGACGGCCCTCCAAGTGCACTTTGAGGAGCCCTTAGCTGAGTGAAAGGCTAGAATCAGGATGAAGTCTATAAATCAGGGGCGGAGATCGGTGGCCGAATACACCCAGGAGTTTTGCAAGCTGGTATGCCACATGAGGGGGTGGTCCCAGGAGGGCCTGATGGAATGTTTTATAAGGATGGCCTGAACGAGGATGTCTACAAGGATTGCTGCTCCCGAGGGGCCCCTAGAGACCTGCAATGCTGGTATGTGCCGGCAGCCAATGTGAAAATTGACCTGGCCAGAGATCACTACTGTGGGGGCTGCGCCTGGAATAAGCCTTCCCTCTCTTCCCAGAAAGAGGGCCCCAGAGTTGCCAAAGGGGGGGGGCAGCCCCCAGCCTAAGTCCACAGCCTGCTTCAGATGTGGGAAAGAGGGGCACCGGGCTGCTGATTGTTTCTCCAAACTCAGCTCCAAGCCAACCCTTACTGGAGGGAAGAAAGCCGACAAGCCGTGAGCAAAGAACCGCGAGACAGCCCTGAAGGGGGTGGAAGTCGTTGAGTTCACTCCCCCAGGCCTGGGGGAGTTAGGAGCTCCGACCACTGCAGGAGACAGTGAAACCGAAACCAACGATGACCCCCTGGTAAGTCAGCATGGGGGCCCCATGACCATCCCAGTAGAATTAAGGGTACCCTCATCCGGTGCCCAGGGCAAGATGCCAGCCCTCTTAGATTCTAGATGTACTAGGTGTGCCATTAGCCCAGAGGTGGTGGAAAAAATGGGACTGAGACTAAAAGTGCCCATTGCATTCTGCCAGTTGGATGGGTCAATAGCTGGGGGGAGGCAGCCCACTTTGTCATCAAACTAGTTGAGATGTGGATGGGGGACCACCGAGAGAATTTGAGTTTTATAGTAGCTCCTGGTATGGAAAGACCCCTTTTGCTTGGACTGCCCTGGCTCTGAAAATGGAACCTGCAAGTGAATTGGAGGAAGGGCTGGTTACGCATCCGCTCCATCCAGCAGGGAAAAGAAGGGGGAAAACCTTTCTGCATGGCCAAAGCCATGAAGGAGTTGGCAGTGGTGGCGAGTAAACCCATTGCTGGAGAGAAAAAAATCCCTAAGGAATATTGGGACCTCAGGGAGGCTTTCAACGAGAGGGCCTCAGATGTGCTCCCACCCCATTGCCCCACAGACTGCAGCATAGAGATCCTCCCAGTGGTGAAGCTCCCTAAGCCAAAGATCTACTCCATGACCCCTAGTGAGCTAGAGGAGCTGCAGAACTTTATTGTTAAAAACTTAAAATGGGGCTTCATCCAACCAGCTTGAGTGGCTGCCTCGGTGTTGTTTCGGTAGAAAAAGGATGACTCTCTTCACCTATGTATGGACTACAAAAATCTTAATGCCATTTGCATAGAGAATGTTTATCCACTGCCCCTTATGAAAGACATGTTAGCTCACCTGGCCAAGGGAAAGATTTTCAAGCTGGACTTGAGAGAGGCTTACTACAGAGTTTGAAGGGGACAAATGGAAAACTGCCTTCAATTGAGCCCTGGGATGTTTCCAGTTTAGGGGGCTCCCCTTCAGACTACAGGGCCCTCTGGCCGTGTTCATGCAATTGATTAATGAGATACTACATGAGCATCTTTACAAGGGGTCTACCTAGATGACCTTCTTATCTACACGGAGACCATGGATGTACACGTGAAACTAGTGTGGTCAGTCCTGAAAAAACTCAGAGTGGCCGAGCTGTATGCTAAATTGTCAAAGTGCGAGTTCCATCAGAGTAAGATTGACTATTTGGATTACCGAACAGGGGATAGTTACTCAAATGAGGGCATGGGGGCAGTGCTACTCCAAGCCAATGCTGATGGAACTTTACAACCCTGCGCCTACACCTCCCGGAAATTATCTGAGACCGAAAGGAGATGGGCAATTTGGAAGGAGGCTTTTGCCGTCTGCTGGGCCCTGTTAACTTGGAGGTACTTCCTTGAAGGGGCGAAACATCCTTTTGAGGTGTGGACAGACTATAAAAACTTAGAAGCCCTAAAAACGCCTTGGAAGTTGTTATCCAAACAAGTCCGTTGGGCACAACATTTTAATTGCTTTAATTTCTTTCTGTGCTACCTCTCTGGGGAAAGAACTTTATGGCAGATGCTCTCTCGAGATTGCCTCAATACAATAGCTCATGGCCGGAAGTAATCCGCCTGGTTATCCCTTTGAAGCAGCTGGCTACCCCTGTCGTCACTAGAGCCCAGGCGAAAGGAGACCTGAACCTATCCACTGATTTACACAAGCAGTTAAAGGAAGTGCTAAAAACTGATGAGTGGTTCATATCCCAGTCCAATGAGTGCACTCTTCGTGATAGTCTCGCATGGATGGGGGCCAAGTTGTACGTTCCTGCCAGCCTGAGCAGGGCAGTGTTACAACAATCCCATGATGCAAAAGTAGCTGGACATTTTATTTATTTATTTATTTGTTTGTTTGTTTGTTTGTTTGTTTAACTTGTATGCCACATTTCTCCGAAGACTCAAGGTGGCTTACAATGCCGCCTTGTAAGCCTACAAGTTTGGGTTCATAAAGACATTACATTTAGTTAAATGACAATTCTGATGACCCTCACTAAAGAAGGACATAGAGGCATATGTTGCTAGCTGCCCCGTATGTGCTTCGGCAAAGAGGCCACCTGGGAATCCGCCTGAGTTACTCCAGAATGTTGCCAGACCTGGAGCTCTTTGAAAGGAGATCCATGGACTTTATTGTTGAGTTACCCCAAAGTAGTGGAAATACAGTCATTTGGGTGATTACGGACTTGTTCTCCAAACAGGTGCACTTTGTACCATATCCCAAGATTCCCTCAGCAAAAATGTTGGCTAAACTGTTCATTCAACATGTGTATAGGTTACATGGTGTTCCGGAATGAATAATTTCGGACAGGGGGGTTCAGTTCACCTCCCACTTCTGGAGGGAGTTCCAAAGGACTACCAAATGTGGGATAGGGTTTTCCTCTCCACCAAGTTCTTGGGCTTTAACTACACTTTTTGAAGTTTCTGTTTTGCTTTGCTTTTTATATCTAAAAGTTAACTGGCTGGTTGAATGCTGATTTATTTTAACACCCTGCTGGGGGGGGGGGTGTCTTTTCCCTTAGATCTATTTGGCTGATTTGAATAAGTCTTGCTTCTCCATAAGGAAGTCACAGCATGTTTCTGTGTAGTGAAACTGCTGACATTTGATTTACATTTATATTGGACTTTCACTACAGAAATTTTGCATTTTATTAACTTGTAAAAAGTTTGGAGATTATTTTTCTATTTTTTTTCATCTTGGATCAAAATATTCAAAAATACCCTCCCTGTTTCTCTGTTTATTTTCTCACTTTTAAGAATATTACTTTAATGTTTTTTGTTCCCTGTCTCTGAAGAGATCTCTTATGTTTCATTGCTAAATTACATGAGAGCAACAATGTATCAGATTACAGACATGGAAAGATGGCTGGCATTTGAAAAAAAACCCATTTGATAATATACAAACCCAAGTTGAAAACTTTTTTTAAAAGTTTGACAAAATAATAATGGTTGCAAAAATATTCAGATGTAAGCAACTATAGATAAACCAGATTCACAAAAGGAATTTGATTTGAAAGTGGCACTGAAAGAAATGTGTACCTTACAAACTTAGAACTGCCTGAGTGGATTGCACATGCTTTCCCCAAGTTCAGGCCTACATTCCTTTACCAACAGTAGAAAACTGACTGAGTAGATAAATGATAAATTGGTTTCCCCTAGGAAGATTAAAGGAGATTGGGGAACTGAATTATTTAACTGGAAAACAATTTCATCTGGACGGTTTTGGGAAGATAAATCAACTTTGGAGAATGTATTTATTATATTTAACTAGACAACAATTGATAAGAGAAGGCCCAGTACTCTTCAATGTCTAATTCATAAATAATTTAGATGAGGGGATAGAAAGGGAACTGATCAAATTTGCAGACAACACTCCAAGATAGCTCAAGGCCCAGAAATATCCTGGCAGACTTGAACACTGGGCCCTATCCAACAAAATTAAATTCAACGGTAAGAAAAGTAAGGTTTTACACCTAGGCAATTAAAAACAATACAGACTAGGTAGTTCTGGCTCAAGAGCAGTAACTGTGAAAGGGATCTAGGAGTCCTAATAAACAACTACTTAAACATGAGCCAGCAATATGCTGCAGCCACGAAAAAAAGCCAACTCAGTCCTTAACTGTATTAACAAAGAATCAATATCGTATGAAGTGTTATACCACTTTATAATGTCCTGGCAAGACCACACTTGAAATATTGCATCCAGTTTGGTTGCCACGATATAAAAAAGACTCTAGTGCAGAGAGTGCAGAGTGGAACAACAATGATTAGGGGACTTGGGTACATCTAGTCTAAGGAAAAAGAAGAACTAGCGGTCACATGATAATAGTCTTCCAATATCTAGTGGGCTGCCACAAAGAAGAGGGGATCAATCTATTTTCCAAAGCACTTGAAGGCAGGGCAAGAAGCAACGAATGGAAACTAATCAAGGAGATCCAACCTAGAAATAAGGAGAAATTTCCTGACAGTTAGAACAATCAATCAGTGGAATGGCTTTGCTTCAGAAGTTGTGGGTGCTCCATCACTGGAGTTTTTTAAGAAGAGACTGAACAGCCAATTGTCTGAAATAGTACAGATTCTCCTGCTTAAGCAGGGGTTGGACTAGAAGACCTCCAGGGCTTCCTATTCTGTTATTCTGTATTCTGTAAATGAGAACCAGAGTTTAGTATAGAGTTGACCTACTGCAGCAAAGCTTTGGTTTTCCGCGTAGGATCATCAGGACGAAAATTCTTATATTCCTCCACCTCCTTTTCAAGTGACAGCAGCTGACTCTGCAGTTTGCTACGCAGGGATGGCAAGGTGTCCCGGATATGGTTTGTCAATTGCTGAAGAGAAGATATGAAGCACCAATAAGTTTATATTAATATTATTATAGTTTCTTACTACTAAAATAAGCCATCCTCTCTTTGAGGCCAGTGTGGCTGAGTCATGCACTATTTCCTTAAGTACTTGTCAGTCTATTTTGCTCTCAAAGAAGAGTACTGATCTGATAGACAACCTGTCCTAAAAGTTGGGAAAAGATAATAATCAGAAGGTATTTCTAGTAATCAAAAATCTTTATACTCCATTCTCTCCCCAAGAAAGCTCTACTTTGTTCTCATTATTGTAAATTAAGAAAGACCAGAATCCTTCTGTCTTATGTAATGTCACCTGCAGATCTATGGCTTCAACAAGGTTTGTTCACATTCAGTAGAAATGCATTCATATTTATTCATTATTAATACTCCTGGAGAATTGTTTATGCCTGGTATAGAGACCTGAGCTAACTACAATATAAACCAAGATATCCTTGTTTCTTTGCAATATCTAAATTAGCTCTAAACTGAAGCATAGCTAATTGATTTATGGATATTAAGAGAGAGGGAAAAAAACCACAACTGGGTTTAAAATAAGAGAGACATCTTCTCCAATAATATACACCATTAGAAAGGGTAAAAGAAACTGTTAATGATGTTCAGCTGTTGGTAAAAATTAAGAATGAGCCAAGAAAAATGAATAAACTGCTTTAGGAACAGCTTACCTGGTTCAGGACCTTCTGCAAATGGGGAGTTCCCATGCGATCAGCCATGTGTCTATAAGCAGGATGAGAAAGGAAGAACTTGCGCTCAGCTGCCAATGCTGCTCTGATATCCTTTTTACCATCAATATCCTTCTGGCTCCGGTTCACAACTCCAATGTAGCCTACAAGGGACAACTCCATATGTTAAGTTCTGTTTTAAAATGTGTAGGCCTAAGAAGAAATTTTGAGTAGGGTAAAATGAGACAGTGCAACAACTTCACAAAGTCAGGTAAACATAAGATTATACTCTTATACTGACAACAGAGGGAATATACTTCTATCACTGAAATCCAGAAATCATTTTTTAAAACTCTGAATATACTGTTATTTTTTTCTTTGCATGAAACACTCTGGATCCAGAATAGGATCTTACCCTGAGCAATCTGCTCATCAATAATGTCATCATACCACTGATCTCAAAAGATCATCTTTAATATAGGAAAAAGGAATCCAGAATTATATAGAAAACTAGAATACAGTATCTGACTATAAGACCACAAGAATGTGCTTATTTTGCATTTTATTCTAGATGCAGAAAAATGATTCTCAATTGGATTAAATGGATAATCATAATCTTAGTTTGTGAAATGAATAATCACCTAATCCTCTACTAATTATCTACTGCCAGATAAAGCTTGTCAAATTAATGGCTATCCAAAGGAATAGTATGAAATCATAACCATGACGACCAAACCGATTTACCAATTTTTGCTGAAATGCCCAAGACTAATCTGACCTGCATATTTCTTTTATATATCAACTATTAATATGATCTATATTAAAGCCCTTTCTGCTGAACCATTTCTTGGTTTCTAAATAACTATTCTAAATAGGTGTATGTAGCTTCCAGAGGAGGTTACAAGCAACCTATAGTATCAGATGCTTCCTATTCCTAAGGCCAAAACATGTCCAGGGTAAGAAGATGCTGCCTCTCTGTATTAGTTTTTCAAATTTAGAGGGCCAGAAATCACCTAGATGACAAAAAGGTAGAATCATTATTTTATCTGGAAAGAAAAAGGTTCTTAATTTAAGATTATCTCACTTTAGAAAAGATAGAAGTAATACTTTTTTCTGTTATGTTATTCTATTTTCATCTAATGTAGTCTTGATCCTAATGTTGGTTGGTGACTCACTATTACAAAGAACTGAAGCATATGTATGTTAACCAAATGTATGAAATGTGCCAGGAGCAAGCACATGATAGAACAACTTTTAAGACCTGTCAATTATACCTTCCTGATAACAATTTAGAGACAAATGATGCTCCAAAGAACAGCTACAACTCTATCATCAAAGACTTAAAAGCATCTCAGAAGGAAGCTTGAATCTTATCTCTCCTTCCAATCATGAAAGAGGGTTAGAAGGGGGGGGGGGGGGACAATACTGCAAATGTTGATATTTTATTGAAAGATTTGACGTTACGGTTTAAATTATTTAAGATGGTGGATAGCATTCATTTCAGAATTAGTAAAATGTATTTAATTAAGCATAGGCTTGACACAAATTGAATTGGGGGGGGTGGGGCAGTTAGAAATGAAAATCCCTGAGGAACTCAATCAAGAAGGGATCATAAGCTAGATTCTCCCCACCCACAATCAACACTGACTGGAACTGGCCTTAGAGGAAGAGAATCAATGCAGAACTATGCCTCCCACTCCTATTCCCCAGTCCAGAAAGATGTCTTGATCAACAATATTGAAAGATGCCAAGAGATCAAGGAGAGCATGGATGAATGCACCACTCCCACCCCACTCCCACCTGAGCTTAGCCACAAATGCAATCAATACTGTTTCAGTCCCATAATTCAGGCCTGCAAACCAACTGAAAGTAGTCCAGCTATTCCACTTCTTTCAATAACCATCTTCTCAACAACCTTCCCTAAAGAGAGATTAGAGACAAGAATAAAGGATGCATTCAGCAGCATTTGAAAGTCAGGTCTCTGAGGTTCTGACGACTTGGCATTGGGGAAGAGACCATTGGCTGGAATGCAGAACCAGTTTAAGGCACTGAGCATTCCCAGAGTATAGCCCAGTGATGGCGAACCTTTTAGACACCGAGTGCCCAAAATGCGTGCGTGTGTATGCCCAAACTGAAAGGTGCATGTGTGCAAATGCACACATACGCAGACATGTGCACAGACATGTGTAAATGTGCGCATGCGCAGACATGCGCACAAACGTGTGCATGCGCAGCAGAGACCCAAAGACCAGCTGCCTGACAGGAGGCAGGGCATCCCAACACCGGTAGCACAGCAAGAGGTAAGATCTTTTTCTTTCGTGAGTTTCTGTTTCGTCGTTTGCAGGGAAACAGAAGCTCACGAAAGAAATGCCATGGAGATCTGACCTGGGGAGACGGCGCGTGTGCTAGCAGAGAGGGCCCTGGGTGCCACACCACACATATGCCTTAGGTTCGCCATCATGGGTATAGCCCATTCCCTATCTTCTGCCATATCTTCTTCAGCCCATAATTAGCCCAGAGTCTTCCTTCCTTGTTTTGCCTATGAATTTAACCAAAAACCCAAGACATGATTCACTGAAAGAAATACTGATCAACTATAATTCTGAATGGTTTTCTACCTCTCCGCAGAGGCAACAATTTATTCTCCAAGATATCTCTGGCATCAGTGCCTTCATCCATCAGGTCTAACTTGGTTATTACGCCAATTGTTCTTAGGCCTGAGAAAGAAAAAAGAATTATAATCAAATTGTCAACCATTTAGCAAGTTCTAAAATAATTTTCTCAGGATAATTTTTCTTTGCAAAATAATAACAATAGCAGTTAGACTTATATACCACTTCATTGTGCTTTACAGCCCCTCTATAAGTGGTTTACAGAGTCAGCATATTGATTTAATATTTGTACCTGTTTTTATATTTTCTCTAGTTTTGTTTCCTGCCCAGAGTCCCCTGGAGTTGGCCAGCCAATAAATTTAAATAAATAATAATACTAGAAGATTTCTTTTAAGACACTGAGATCTAATCAACAACTATTGCAACTATAAAACAGCAGTTTGGTGCATTCTACCTGGAAAAATCATCATAATTTGCTATTTGGGAATTTCACACAAGTCTGTTGTTATGTCCACGCTTGAGCAGAAGCTTTTCCTTCTGCCATGCAAGTGCGGGACATATTTTAAAGTTATTGTTTAAAGGCTGACAGTTTTCCTTTAAAAGGGGCTGCCAGCAGAAAATGCATGTTGGTTTATACTGAGTCCTTATCTTAAATAAACAATGCTCTTGGAAGTATGGCTCCTCGTCTATGTTCCTACACACAACATTCCATGTATATATATATGCAGTGGTGGGATTCTGCCGATTCTAGGGGGTTTGGTCAAACCCTTTGTTAAATTGCTGGCTCACCCCGCCCCTTGCCCCGCCCCTCCGCACCACTATTTATTGCCAATAAATAGTGGTGGGCGAGGGGCGGGCGAGCCAGCAATTTAACGAACGGTTCGGTGGTTTTTTATAATTTTATTGGCCCGCGGAGCTTCAGCATAGGCTAATTAGCCCCTTGATTCTATCGGCCTCCCGACTCTCAGCTGATTTGCTCTCAGCTGTTTTGCTCAGGGCTCTGCTGCTTGCTTGCAAAGAGTGCAGATTTTTTTTCCCCTATCTATGCTGAAAAACGAAACTGAAAGTAAAAGCCTGCTTTACTGTTGCTGCAACTTGGAAAATTAGGCAGGCAGATTTCTTTTCTTTTTCCTCACCAAAAAAGGTAGGTGCAAACTACCTTTAGTGGAAAGGTAGTTTTCCCTAAAGAGGTAGTTCCTCTTTAGGGAAAAAGAAGAGAGTTCAAGATTTTAAAACACAAAAGAAAAAAAGCTCTATTTAAATAGGGAATTGTAATAAATGAGATACTATTAATTGTATATTGTGTTGAAAGCAGAAATGGTTAAATTGTGATTTGGAGGAATATATGGGGGAAATTATTTGGTTTATTATTATTGGTAAATATAATTAATTGATTTGTAAGAAATTGGATTGCATGGAAATAATTGGAATATTCATGTTCATATTGATTAATATACAAAAAAGATAGTTATATAACTAATTGATTTATATTAAAATGTTGAATTTATATTAAACAACTGTAATATTACATAATTAACCAATGTGAGGATGGATATAAAAATAGATGACAATGAGAAGGGGTATAATATAGAATAGAAGGGAAAAATTGAATTTGATTAAGATTAGAAATGAGGATGAAGGGTAATATTGTTTTTTTTTAAAAAATAGATAAGGAATAAATATGGCAAAAAGGAAATATAGAAATTGTAAATTTAATTGAAATGACTAAACACTGTTTAAATTTGTGAACTGGCCAAATACTCTGTTCAAAGAAAATACATTGTATGTTTGTATGTGTGTTTTAATTACTGCTATTTATTCATATTTATTCTCTTTTATTCTTTAAAGTTTAACAATTCATTCTTTATCTTAATATCTTAATATTTGTTTGGGGTTGCCTTTCTTCCATTTCATCTTTTTTACTGTACAGCAATCTTTCTCCTCAAACCTACCACCTCTCTCTTTTCTTTCCTTCTTACTTTCTCTTCCCCCCCCCTCTTCTTCTCCTCCTCTCTTCCTCCCTCTCTTACCCTCACTCTTACTCTAATTTCCCTTCCCTTCCTCCCTTCTCTTCCTTCCCTGTCTCTCCTTCTTTCTTCCATCTCTCTTCTCCTTCCTTCATCCCTCTCTATTGCTGTATTCTTTTGTGCATTATGGATTACTCAGAGGGCTGAAAAAGTTATTTTTGACCGGTCCTCGCACTTTTGACCAGTCCTCGCACTTACGACTGTACTCACATTTTATGTTTTGCGCCCTATCTTGTCACTGTGGTGAAGACAAGTAGTGGTGAAATGACTGACACAGTTGTTAAGAATGCCGCAACGGGCATAAATGTGAGGAAGGTCATAAGTGTGAGGACCGGTCAAAAATTTGAGGATCAGTCAGAAATGACTTTTTTAGCCCTCTGAATAGTCCCTATGTGCATATGGACTAGTCAGAAGGCTGAAAAAGTTATTTTTGACCGGTCCTCGCACTTTTGACCAGTCCTTGAACTTACGACTGTCCTCACATTTTATGTTTTACGCCCTATCTTGTCACCATGGTGAAGAGAAGTAGTGGTGAAATGACTGACACAGTTGTTAAGAATGCCGCAATGGGCATAAATGTGAGTATGGTCATAAGTGCGAGGACCAGTCAGAAATGACTTTTTTCAGCCCTCTGAGTAGTCCCTATGCACATAGCCACGCCCACCCGGTCACATGACCAGCTAGCCACGCCCACACAGTCACATGACCACCAAGCCACACACCCCCAACTAAGCCACGCCCACAGAACCGGTTGTTAAAAATATTGAATCCCACCACTGTATACATGTATATATCTACTACATCCAAGCAAATATAAAAACATAATTTACCTTGTGGGTCAACTTCTTTAGCCAGTTTGAGCGCGTCAGAGTTGGCCAAATCCATATTGGCTGGAGTCACAGCAAGAATCAAGCTGCTCTCTCTGCTAATAAACTGTAAAATCATATCTTTGATCTGGTATTCTATATCCTGGGGTTGGTCACCCACTGGCACTTTAGTTATACCCGGAAGATCAATCAGAGTCAGATTCAGCACTGAAAAGAAAATCAGCAAAGACTAAGAACTTCATCTGAAAAATGTTGTTTTGTCTTAAATCAGCTTTGGACCTTAAGAGGTTTTTCCAAAACCTTTCCACATAGAAGGGTGGGGTGGGGTGTCTATTAAAGCCAAGAGCAAGCTCATTTAAATGAGAGGGAAATTAAAAAATAAAAATAAATTAAAGTCATCTTTAGAACTGACTTAAATACTCTCAGCTTTTAATTATTATACTCATAGGTTATGACATTATTTCCAAAGAATTACAAAAGAATTCCATCTTGAGAGTGGATATATTATTCCCTTCAGTATTTTCCTGAAGGTAACTATATACTTTTGCTGCTAGTAACATTGTAAAATGCTCTTCCTTATTAAAATGAGGAAAAACAGACTCAGGCTCAACCCATCCAAGACTGAGTGGCTGTGGTTTCCGGCGTCCCGATATAGTCAGTTGGTGCCATCACTGACTATTGGGGGCAAGTCGTTGGCCCCCACGGAGAGGGCTCGCAACTTGGGTGTCCTCCTGGATTCATGTCTGTCTTTAGAAGAGCATTTGACGGCTGTGGCTGGGAGGACTTTCTATCGGGTTCGCCTGATTCGCCAGTTGCGTCCCTTTCTGGATCGGGACTCCTTACGCACGGTCACTCATGCCCTTGTCACAACCTGCCTGGACTACTGTAATGCTCTCTACATGGGGCTCCCCTTGAGGAGCACCCGGAGGCTCCAACTGGTCCAGAATGCGGCCGCGCGGGTGGTTATGGGAGTGACATGGCGTTCCTATGTAACACCTCTCTTGCGCGAGCTGCACTGGCTCCCGGTGGTCTTCCGGATGCGCTTCAAGGTCTTGGTTACCACCTTTAGAGTGCTCCATGGCTTAGGACCTGGGTACTTACGAGACCGCCTTCTGCCACCAGTAGCCTCTCACCGGCCAGTACGCTCCCATAGAGAGGGGCTTCTCAGGGTGCCATCGGTCAAACAATGTGGACTGGCGGCCCCCAGGGAGAGAGCCTTCTCTGTGGAGGCACCTGCCATTTGGAACGAGCTCCCCCCGGAGATACGGAGGATCCCGGACTTACGCACTTTCCACCAAGCCCTCAAGACCTTTTTATTTCAACAGGCTGGCCTGGCCTAACTTCCTTTTCATTGTTAATTTTAAATTTGTTTTAAAATAATAGGGGTGTTTTAATTTGTTTGGGCCAAATATTTAATGTGTTTTTATATTGTTTTTTAAATTTTGTATTATGTGTGTTTGATTTTTTGTCTATTCACCGCCCTGAGTCCTTTGGGAGTAGGGCGGTATATAAATCCAAAAATAAAATAAATAAAAATAAATAAAAATAAAAATTATATCATAATTCCCCTTATTCAATTGTTTTAATTGGCACATCAAAAAATCCCCATTCACACTTTCAAAATGCTTGAGACGGCCAACTATAAACTTAAAAATGAAGCATTTTGTGAAATTCAATGCACAAAACATTTCATATTGAAATATTTTGTACATTCCTACCCTCAAATGTATGTATGTGTGTGTGCGCGTGTATGTATGTGTATGTGTGTATATATATGTGTGTGTGTGTGTTTGTGTACACGCGCGCAAGTATGGGCAAGTGCGTCTGTGTGTCAGTGTACATACAGCATACACGGAGATAAATGAATATCCCTGTCAGGCAGCTAATTAGATCAAAGAAGAGATTTTCAAAATCCTCTTTTCCTTACAAAGATAATGAGATTGAAAGATATTTTCAATGTTTGGGGTCTGATTTATCTCTTGACTTTGTTGTAGTGGAGCTTTCTTCATTCTTTCAATATCATCTCTTCAATAAATAGGACAATTGTTACTATTGTCCTCAGCTTACAACCAGTCGCTTAACGACTATTCAAAGTTATGAGGGACTTCATTATGATGAAAAAAAGTTACTTAAGACCTCTCCTCTAAATTATGACTCTTGCACCAGCTTCTGTGGTCATGTGATCATATTTCAGGCACTTGGCAACTGGCTTACATTTACAACTGGTTGCAGCATCTTGCAGTCACATGATTGCATTTTGCAACATTTTTTGCCTTTTAAAAAAAAGCAAAAAATACCTAATGGATAAGCTGGGTTTAACTTATGATGTGATTCCATTAACAACTATATGATTTGCTTAACAATCACAATTATTTTCTTGACAATCATTTTATAACATTTTATGTTATAATAACATATAACATTTTATAACGATCGTTATAAAAATGATCATAAATTTGAACCCAGTCATGTGGAGACTTGACTTATGATTGCAACAACTTAGACCCAAAACTCCAGGCTGTGGTTGTAAATCTAGGACTACCTGTATCTATTTTCCAGAAAGGATAGGAATGCATAGATTTTCTGAATAATATTTTCCAAATCTCCATCTTTCCTAGATATTAAGAAGATATAATATTCAATTTTTACAAAAACCCATAACACTTGCCATGTGGTGAATATACCCTCAGGTTAATAGGGATAGGAGAAATGCCTCTGTTTGTTCCTGTCACCCTATCAGTCTCAGCTTCAATCTCCTGTCGGACTTCATCAAAATCTGTAAACTTCTTAGATTTGCAGTGCAAAAATTCTGCATATTCTGAAAGAGAAGAGATATCTCATGTGATGCTCAAATACAAATCTAAGGGAAATCTTTGAGTACTCACGTAAGAATTATAATCTATTATCATAATTTAACCATACCAAATACTTCATCATGCTTATTAATTTTTAAGGCATGATTGAATATATAAAGTACTCTAAGTCCAAGAAGAAACCATACATGAATATAACATTATTCACAAAAGAATTTTTAAGCATAAATGAAGGGACCACACACCTGTTTTAGAAAAAATAAGCTGAAGAATGAGAGGTCTTCGGGTAACAATTCCAGACCCACGGGGCAGGAAATCTCTGCAAAATATATTGACAATATATTACTATGAGAGCTTAAAACAAATACTATGAACAAGAAATTTTACTAAGAAATTATTTTTAAATGTATGTCATCAGATATGACACACTGCAATTGTCCAGAAAGCATTCCATTCCCCAAATCTTAGTGTACATAGACTGATGGCTCATTAATGACAAAATTTTTACATTTTGCAAGATCATAGAAAAATGCTGGTCAGTGTTCGTAAGAAAGATAATATACTGAGTACTTCGAAGAAATAAAATAGGGAAACAAGGCAGTGGTGAAATTCAATTTTTTTTACTAGCGGTTCTGTGGGCATGGCTTGGTGGGCATGGTGTGGCTTGGTGGGCATGGCTTGGTGGGTGTGGCAGGGGAAGGATATTGCAAAATCTCCATTTCCACCCCACTCCAAGGGAAGGATACTGCAAAATCCCCATTCTGACCCCACTCCAGGGGAAGGATACTGCAAAATCCCCATTCCCTCCTCACTCCTGGGGGAAGGATATTGCAAAATCTCCATTCCCACCCTAATCTGGACCAGCCAGAGATGGTATTTGCCAGTTCTCCAAACTACTCAAAATTTCCACTACCGGTTCTCCAGAACCTGTCAGAATCTGCTGGATTTCACCCCTGAAACAAGGGAAACTGCTTTTATTTATTAACAGTTTTTTTAACAGTACTTTTTTTAATTCAGGAAGTTGTACAATATTACTGTTTCTCTAACTATAGAAACAGAATGGAAGCTTAGATAAAATAATCTTTATTGTCATTTTTTTTTTCTGTGGGACTCTGGCACACATTAAAAATGAAATTCTGTTGCCTGCTCTCAAAAGTGTACATATACATAACACACATATAGTTATGCTATATACATGCATATGTATATATCTTCACCCTAACATATAAATCAGTGGTGGGTTGCTATCGGTTCGCACCAGTTCGGGAAAACCGGTAGTAAAAAATTTTAGTTGCTCGGAGAACTGGTAGCAATGGCTACCAGGGGCCACGCCCCCGAACTGGTCGCACGGCTGCCACTTCCTCGCCCCAGCCGCCATGTTCTTCACATATGCACATATCCCATTTGACTTGCAAGGCAATGGGATGCGCATGCGTGAAGAACATGGCAGCGATGGCAGCAGCTTGCCTTCAGAGCAAGCGGCTGGTAAAGAAGCCTTTTCAGAGACTTCTTTCCCAGCCACTTTCCAGCAGTGGCGGCTGGCTGGGGGCCAGCAAAAACTCCGATTAGCTTGCTTTCCCGACTCCAGACCAGCCGCAGTGGAAGGTAAGCAGCCAAACAAAGAAGTGGTGGTGGGGGAGGAAGGCAGGCAAGTGGGCCTGGCCACCGGACCGCGGGGAAGGGCGCATGGAAGGCAGCCAAGCATGTCAGGGCCACCCGGCCATAGGGAAGGGAGTTAGCAGCTCCCCTCCCTTCCCTGCAGCCTGGCATGCTTGCCTGCCTTCCAAGCGGCCTTCCCACGCCTTTGCCTTCCAAGGTCGGGTCACACATGCAGCCCGTGATGAGAGACATGCTGCTTTCGGCCCAGCCTGGCCCGGCCTAGCCAGTGGGTGGGTGGGCGGCCCTTCGGGGAGACGGACCCGTTGCGCTGGGACTGAGAGGGATGGCGGCAGCGACAGTTTTGCGGGAGGGCAAGCAGATTTCCCAGTGCTGCTGCACATGTGCACCGCATGTAAAGGGAAGCAGACACCGGAAAAGCTGTGCAGGAAAACTTCCTGGGCGTTCCAGGACACCCTGCAGCCACTGCCGCTGCCTGCCGTGGCAAAAGCCACGCAGGAAAACTTCCTGGGTGTTCCAGGATGCCCCACAGCCACCACCACTGCCGCTGCCTGCGCAGCAAAAGCCGCGCAGGAAAAGTTCCCGGGCATTCCCGGATGCCCTGCTGCTGAATCCTGATGCCAAAGGAAAGCGTTTTCGGGCAGCAGACCCGCAATCTCCTTCCCAATTCCAAACATGGGGTGTGCAGAGGCAAAAAAATTGCATCGTGTTTTAGGTAGCAGATCTGGCCAGGAGGAAAGAGAAGGTGAGTCTGCTGAGAAGGAGGATGAGGGCGCGCGGCTCTGCAATGTGCAATGGGAAGAAAAGCACTTTCAGGCAGCAGTGCTGCAATCTCCTCCCCGAATCCAAAATGGTTCCCAGTTCCCCACTGCACATTGCAGGGGAACTGGCCGCCTGCCACCTGAAACGCGGCTCTGAGAATTGCATTGGGGAATCTGGGCAGCGGTGGCTGGAAAGGAAGGATGTTTCACTTTAGGAGCTCCCGTTCAGCTCGCTCAGCTCCTGGGCACAGAGAGGGCTTAGGCGGCAGCTCCTCACATCGCTGGGGAGTGAAGTCATTGTGACCATTATCTGCCCTAAGATGCCTGCTGGGTGGCCAGAGGGGTGACCAGCCGCAAACTGTGGGGTCCGCCTTGTTCCCCAAAGCTGCCGGGCAGATTCTCCCCCCCACCCAGACCATCCCGAAGAGGGTTGTTCCTCAGACTGTGCCCCGTCCCAGATCCCCTCCTGGAACTGCCCGAAAATGTCCAACGGGTCGGGTCCGGCGGGGCTACATTCAGAGTATAAGACGCATCCAGATTTTCACACCCTTTTTGGGGGTAAAAAGGTGCGTCTTATACTCCGAAAAATACGGTATTTAAATCTTCTTAGTTGATTTGCTGTTGTTCAATTGTTCAGTAAAGACTTGTAAATATCCACTAAGTATACATTAAACGCAAAGTTTAGAGAAGTATAGATCTTTATGTCTTCTCTTGATTATAGCTCTTAGCTCCTCCCAGGTCTCTTTTGCTCCATTTATATAGATAATGTATAATAGTCTCTTAAGTCTGTTTTCCCCCTCCTCTTTTATTCCACCTCAATCTCCTTCGAATCTTCTATTCAAAAGTTCAAATAGAACAGAAAGTTCTTTCCTTTTTTTTTCTGGCTCGAGCACTCGTCCAATCAAACTTCTCTTACTGTTAATTCATGGCAATGTCCGTCCTCGCTTCTTCTTCTCCTTTCCTTTCCTGTCGCTCTACTATGCCAAGTTTCTCTCCTTCTTTGCTTTCTCTTTCCCTTTAATTCTCAGTTCACACCAGATATCCACCGTCTTGCCGAAACATCACAATCTTCCTCCTTGTCGCCGCCTTAAAGGTTAGATGTATTGTGCTGACTCATTTCCCCTCTGCCAAATCGCTGCTCGCTCTCTCCACTGGAATTCTTTTAACCAGAAAAGGCAGGCTTCACTCTTCAAATCGATCATTAATCTTGCGGTTTTCACATAAAATGACACCGTCTGCTGTAAAAATCTTCTCTCTGTACTCACTGGCTCATCGCAGCCTCAGGTCTGCCATAGAAAGCTGTCAGACACCTTCACGCTGGTTTGACAGGGGTGTCCATTCATGCAACAAGTGATCGCCCTTCACTTGGCCACACTCTAGACTTCCCCTCTAGTCCACAATGCCCTCCAGGCTTTTTGTGCCCCGAAGGGTCCCCAAAACATGAAAAATTCGAGGTTAGAGAACAGAGACCGTTCTCTTCCCACTGCACCGCTGAGATACCGCCACCGGAAGTTTAAAAACATATATATTCCCCCTTAATCTTATTTTTACCTCTATTCTAGCTCTCAATAAAGCCAATCTTATATTAAACAGCATTCCCTTTCTAAACATCATCTCTTGTCCGCTTTAGTATTTCAATTCTTATTCGTTTTTTGATTTGCCTCCCAAACTCCTCCCTTGGGTCTTTGTCTCTGTCTACATCTTTCCTATTTAACCCAAATGTTTCTTCCATCTCTACTATCTTTTGCTGCCGTACCTCCGAAGGATCTGCCCAAGCCCCTATCTTCTCTTCAAAAATATATTTCTTTTTATCCAATCCCATTTTTGATCTCTTAATATATATTGTCCCTTATTTGATTCATAAGTCTTTATTGTCTCCTCCTTCTTCTCTTGTTTTATTTGTTGATTTATCTGTTCTGTCTTTTCCTCTGGTCTTTCTATTATCTCCTCTATTTCCTGTGTTTTATGATCTTTATTCATTGTCTCTTGTTGAACATTTTCTGATTTCCCTACAATGTCATGCATTAAGTCTTTTATCTTCCTGTAGTTCTTTATCAACATATCATAAGTACTTTGGAGCATCAACACCATTTCTTTTTGAAATCCACTCATCTCCCCCTGATGCAACATCTCGTCTTATTTTGATAGGTCCAAATATTGCTCAGTAGCCTGTCACCGCCCCAAAGTCTCAATTGTCTATGACCTCAGAAAGCCATCTTAGAAACCATTTGCTCAATCCTAGCGTTGCTCCTCAGGGGAATGCAATAGTTATAGTTCTTTGTGTCCCACAGTTAGTCAATTAGTTCCATTTAGGTAATCCAGCAAGATTTCCAAATGTCTCCTTAAGTCCACTCTGTAAATTCAATCATAGATCTTGGCATTTAAAAGTCACTTTCTTTAGATGTCTTCCATAATCTGAATGTTAATCTTCCAATAACCATGAAGTAGACAGATATAAAACAGTAGATAGCACAGCAGTCCTCCACAGGGTGGGTTTGATTTAAATCGAGTTGATTTAAATCACAATTTAAATCATGATTTAAATCACTAGTAAAAAGGCTTGATTTAAATCAACTCGATTTAAATCATAATTTTTAAAGAGCAACTGTTATCTCTGCTATTCCTTTGACCCACTGTTGACTCACCGATAGTCCCAGTGTTGCAGAATATATAGCCTCATGCTACATAACTAAGCTCCATTTCATGCTGAATAAACTAAATTATTTATGTATCTTAAATAGAAAACTATTTTACGATAGATTTTTACCCCAAAAGTTTTTTATTAAAATAAATTTGATAAAAATCAAAAAAATCCGATTTAAATTTAAAAAAAAATCTGATTTTTTTGATTTTTTTTAAAAAAATCATTGATTTTTATCCACCCTGGTTCTCCAGGTGTTATTTATTTCCACTTTTTTTTCCCTTTGTCTTATCAGTACTT